AAAAACTAGTACACCACCCAAACCTCTGACCACCACCTTAATAGAATAACTACTACTGATTCAGGAAAAGATAAGACATTTCAGAATGAATGGAAATAATATGCATTATTAGTACAAAACTACCACAAGAATCAAAATACCTTAGTTGATAAAACCCCTACCCCACCTCCCCCTAAAAAAGCCCACAAAGCAGAAGAAATCTGTATTTAATATGCTCACTTAAATTAAATAATCTTAAACAAACATTTGTACGTATGAAGAACCATTCCAAATCAGAATTCAAAAACTCAGAACAGAAAAATATAAAAAAGAGGAAGATGAACATCCAGAGATGACTCAGGGAAGAAAATGGGGGAAGGGAGGGAGACAAAATAATTTCAGAAATGAACATTTAAATCTGGGCATCCAAAGAGAGGACAGACAGGAATGAAAATATAATAAAGGTTGCTAAGGGGAGGAATAAAAATGCCAAGAGAATAAAAACAAAAGAGCCAAAAAGTCTCAGAAAAAAATTGGCTGCTATAGAATCTAGGCAAAGAAGACCTAACATACATGTAATTGGAATTTCTGAAAAATCAAAACAAAGAACAGAATATGTGAAACTATAATTCAAGAAACATTTCCAGAGAGAAATGAAGTCTTCTACTGATACATTTCAAAGAGCTCACTAATATCTAAAAAAAATGACCAAGGATAATCAACTAAGATATAGCCTAGTGAAAGTATTACACTTAAACCACAAAGAGAAAAATCCTTCTGGGCCTTCAGGCAAGAAAATCAAATCACCTACAAAGCAAAGGATATCAGGATGGCATTAGATTTGTCAACAGCAACATGCAAAGCAAGATGACAGGAAAGACAGTATAAGGCTAGGTCTTTATATCTAGTTACGCTGTTCTTCAAGTATCAAAGCTATGAAAAATATTAATAGCTTTAAACCTGCACAAACTCAGTACAGTACTCAGGAACCCCTCCCAAGGAATCTGTTAGAGGAGACCTTCATTCAACCAAGAGATGACAGTGATACTGTGGCAAAAGGATTGATGGTGAGCCCTGAATATATTTAATTTTAGGTCTAAGACCAAAACAAAGGAAGGTATAAAAGTAGAAGAAGAGTATATAAACATAAGTGTTATTTGTCCTGACAAAGTATAAATAATATAACAATTTTTTAATAGTAAAGAGAAGGGAGTAAAGGGAAAGTAGCATATGCTCATTGGTTACCAAACGGGTAATGAAGTACAGTCAAAGGATATTATTTAAAGCTCCCAAGGGAAGATAAAGGGGGCTGCAGGCATTATAAAAGGTATTTATAGGTAAGCCCTAGAACAGGCGTCGTCAAACTACAGCCAGCAGATCAAATCCAGCTCACTACCTATTTTTTAAGTAAAGCTTCACTGGGAAACAGCTACACCTATTGTTTTACATATTGTCTATGGCTTCTTTATTCTGTCCACAACATAGACATACTGATGCAGTCATACTGTCTACATTAGCAGAGGTGAGTAGTTGCAACAGAGACTATATAGCCCACAAAACCCTAAAATATTTACTATCTGGACCTTTATACAAAAAATTTGCCAACCCCTAATGTATAACAAGAATGCAAACCTTCCTAAATGCCAAACGAATAGAAAAAGAAACAAAGTTTTTTAAAAAAAATGAAACACTTGACACCAAGCATATTGGTAATACCAATAAATGTAAGTGTGCTTAACTCACATTAAAAGATTTTCAGGTTACTTGTAAGACAAAGCAAAGTAAAATAAAACCAACTTTATGCTGTATACAAAAGAACAAATTGCAATCAAAAGGCTGAACATAAAGGAAGAGGCATATTATTTACATTTATTACATAAATGTAAATAATATGAAATCAGGAGTTGTGATCTTGATACCAGGCAAGGTAAAATTCAGGCCACACAGCATTAACACAAACTGCAAATGCTAAAGCCACAGCAACTACCTTGATAAAGCAGAAACTTTATGCAAAGTTTCTGATGTGAGAAATGCAAAGAGAAAACAACAGACACACAGTAATAATACTTTAACAAACCACTTTCAGCCTAAGACACATCAAACAGACAAAAGGTAAATAAAGATATAGAAGACCTTATAAGGTATAGTTTATAGGGGTGTGTGTGTGTGTGTGTGTGTGTGTGTGTGTGTGTGTGTGTGTGTGTGTGTATCTGTGTGTGTGTGTATCACATCCTGATTATAAAGAATATAACTTCTTAAGCAAAGATGGGCCAGTCATGAAATTGTTCTAACATGAGGCCACAAAGAAAAAAAACTCATGAAGTTCCTTAAAGTAGAAATAATACAAACAACATTCTCTGACCACAATGCAATAAAACCAGAAATGAATAGCACCATTGAAAAACAAATAATTTTCAAAAGGTCCTTCTACCTGGAGGTTTTAACTCTTTAAAACAAACCTTGAGGGACTTCCCTGGTGGCGCAGTGGTTGAGAGTCCGCCTGCCGATGCAGGGGACACGGGTTCGTGCCCCGGTCTGGGAAGATCCCATATGCCACGGAGTGGCTGGGCCCATGAGCCATGGCCACTGAGCCTGTGCACCCGGAGCCTGTGCTCCACAACGGGAGAGGCCACAACAGTGAGAGGCTCACGTACCACAAAAAACAAACAAACAAAAAAAAAACCTTGAGAGAAAGGGGATGTACAAACCAAAACTGCAGAATTTATAAAAAACATATAAAAAATGATAATGAGAACACTACATATAATAATTATAGGATACCATTAAAACAGTGCCAAAGAGCATATATATTATGCTATCTTTTGCATAAGAAAGTGGAGAGGTGCACATGCGAGTGTGCACAAATACCCACACGTGTGTTTTTGACTATTTTTGCTAAAACAAGGAACATAGGAAGGATAAATCAGAAACCAAGGTTTATGAAAGGGATAGGAGAAAACAGAATGGAAGGTGAAGGGATATGAGTGTAACTTCTTTGGTATAATAGTTTTGACTTTTGAAATATGTTTTACAAATTCAGAAAACAAAATTAATCAAAAGGCAAACTCTAAAAGTGTACAAAAGCATAGGTTTAAAGACCTGTTTCCTAACTATACCAAATCAGTAATATGACCACACAAAGAAAAGAATTAATTCAAATAACTTTAGAACATGCACTCTGACCATATATAACCTTAGTGGAATATACTCTAAACCCAAAAAGAACTGAAAAGAAGGCTTAGATATTACTTAGTTTCTTTGTGGTTGGTGTTATTGGCAATGGTGTTGGGGTAATAATTCTGAAACTATTTTGGAGAATCAACTGAGTTCATAAACACAAGGAGTCCCTGTGAACACCTTCACATACAAATGAAGTAAGTAAGTTTGGAGAGTCATAAGTATCTTCTCACCCTCACTTTCCTATTGCCTAGAAAACTCTTTTGAAAAGTACATAAATGGTTGTACAACAATGTGAATGGGTTATATTTTTTCAAATTTGTATATTATTTTTTATTGTGGTAAAAATGCATATCATAAAATTCACCATCTTAACCATTTCTAAGTGTACATGCAATAGTGTTAAATGTGTTCAGATTGTTGTGTGACCAGTCTCCAGCACTTCATCTTGCAAAACTGAAACTGAACTGCAAAACTGTTTTCCATAGTGGCTGCATCATTTTATATTTTATATTTCCAATAATCCACAAGGATTCCAGGTGCTCCAATTGCTCCCCACCCTCACAAACACTTGTTCTTTCCTTTTTGTTTGTTTGTTTGTTTGTTTTATGGTAGCCTCCTTACATTTGTGTGGTGATATCTCACTGTGTTTGATTTGCATTTTCCTAGTGATTAGTGATGCTAAGCATCTTTTCATGTGCTTGCTGGCCATTTGTGTATCATCTTTGGATAAATGTGTATTCAAGTTCTTTGCCCAGTTTTTAACTTGATTATTTTGTGTTGCTGAGCTGTAGGAGTTCTTTATATATTCTGGCTATTAACTCCTTTTCAGATACATTATTTGCAAATATTTTCTCTGATTCCACATGTTAATTTTTCACTCCGTTGCATCCTTTGATGCTCCGAAGTTTTAAATGTTGATGTAGTCCAAATATCTAAATACATAAATAAATAAATCTATCATCTTGCTAATTATATTCTCTTTGTCTCATCTATTCTTTGTTCCCTTTTTCTTCTCTTCCTGCCTTCTTTTGGATTATTTATGATATCATTTTACCTCCACAACTTACATATTGGTTTTAGTTTTGTCTCTTATTTTCTAGTGGTCGTTCTAGCATTTACATCTTTAATTGGTTACAGTCTACCTTCAAATAATACCACACCACTTCAGGTAGAGTGCAAGACCATCACAGTTAGTCTGGGGATTGGCACTGCTGTTGTGATCTTTACGCTTAGTGCAGTACAGACTTCAAATTCTTTCTATGCTGAGCTGTCATTACCCTGTGCTTCGTGTGGCGGTGTGGGGCAGAGTTTCCTCCTCATTGGTCACGTGCAGCCAGAGACTCACATACCTGAACCTCTGAGTCTCCTTGAGTCACAGTAGGTACTTCATCTTATGCTAATATATATTATTTAGGTTTCTATATGCAGTGATAAACCTTCCATTAGGATATATAAGGAGAATGCCATCGAAAGCAGAAATTACATTTTTTTTCTTTTCGAATCTTTCAAAATTCCTAACATAGTACTATGCCCAGAGTAGACACACAATTACTAAATGAGAGGACGAGTTGAATGCTGCATTGAAAGCTCTTCATAAGTTCCCTGCAAGAATTAAGTCAACTTACATTTATACTTTAGCCTTACCTTACTTTTTCTCAACACCTCATTTTTACTTCTTCACGTATCTCCATGGGAAGACTAATGTGTGTTGAACGGTGACAATTGATAATCTCTTAGAGGACCAAACATACCTTGCAGTTCAATATGGTTCACATTTTCCCATAGTCATATATTAACTAATCTCACTATTCCCATACATTTTAAAGAAAAGAAACTCTTACCCAGCCTTAGCAACACTTATGGTTTGTTGCTCCATTGCTTCGTGGATACTGGTTCTGTCATGCTCTTTGAGGCTATTAAACTCATCAATACAGCAAAGGCCTGCATCTGCAAGGACTAAAGCCCCAGCCTCCAAATTCCATTCTCCTGAGTCTTTTACAGCAGTTACCGTCAGACCTAAGGAAACAAGCAAGCTATGTTAGCTTTTATTTTCGAAAGCATATCTTATAACTATGAAGGTAAATAAATTCCTATATTTTAAAGGGAAGGGGATAGAGTCAAGGCTTTAATTTCTACCAACAACAGATGGCATCAGGACAGCTACTTCAGGTATCCATTCACTGGAAGATCTCGGGAGATTCTATGTTCTGAAAATCTAATATGTGTTATTGAGTATTTTGTGGCAGACAGAAGTCCCCAAATTTTCTGTCTCTCCTTGGTAGGTACGCTCACTGAGCAGTCTAAACTTTTAGATGGAGCAAACAGATCTCCAGAGATCTTACGACAATAAGTGTTGAACTATATGCTGTTTACAGAGAAGAGTCCAAAGACCGAGAACAGTAGGTACTGCAGTCCAATGATGAAAATGAACCGTTTGCTGCCAGTCACAGTGTGAAGGAGAGGATTCCCTTCATAAGTATTATCAGATTTTGAGTCATCCTTTATACCAGTTAATAAAGCAGAGCTGGTCAAAAGCAAAGGCTCTGGAGCCACCTAGACTTGGATTTGAACCTTGGATCTGCCATTCTGGCTGTCATATTATAGACAAGTTTCCTAATACAGGCATACCTTGTTTTATGGAGCTGTGCTTCACTGCACTTCACAGATACTGTGTTTTTTACAAATTGAAGGTGTGTGGTAACCCTGAGTAGAGCAAGTCTACTGGTGCCATTTTTCCAACAGCATTTGCTTACTTCATGTCTCTGTGTCACATTTTGGTAATTATCGCAATTCTTCCAACTTCTTCATGATTATTGCATTTCTTGTGGTGATCTGTGATCGGTGATCTTTCCTGTTACTACTGTAACTGCAGGTGTGGTGGAAATAGTCAGAGAACCAGAATTAGAGGTGGAGCCTGAGGATGTGACTGAATTGCTACAATCTCACGATAAAACGTTTTGAGGAGTTGCTTCTTATGAATGGGCAAAGAAAGTGGTTTCTCGAGATGGAATCTACTGCTACTGAAGATGCTATGCAGATTATTGAAATGACAGCAAAGGATTTAGAATATTACAGAAACTTAGCTGATAAAGCAGCAACAGGATTTGAGAGAACTGACTCCAATTTTGAAAGAAGTTCTACTGTGGGCAAAATGCTACCAAATATTGTCGCATGCTACAGAGAAATCCTGAGAGGAAGAGCCGCCGATGTGGCAAACTTCCCTGGTGTCTTATTTTAAGAAACTGCCGTGGCCACCCCAACCTTCAGCAACCACCACCCTCATCAGTCAGCAGCATCAGCATAGAGACAAGACCCTCCACCAGCAAAAAGATTAGACTTACTGAAGGCTCAGATGATGGTCTGCATTTTCTAGCAATAAACTATTTTTTAATTAAGGTATGCACTTTTTTTTAGATATAATGCTATTGCAGACCTAATGGACTACAGCATAGTGTAAACATAACTTTTATATCATTGGGAAACCAAAAAATTCATGTGACTTGCTTTATTGCAGTGGTCTGGCACTGAACCTGCAGTATCTCTGAGGTATGCCCGTATATCCAGGCCTCAGTTTATTTATCTATAAAAAAAGGATAACAATAGAAAATACTTAACAGATTCTCAGATTTTCAAATAGAATATAAATAAAGCTCTTTAAAAGGAGCACAATGAGTAATTATAATAACTACTGTTGATAAAAATTGATAAACCTCTGGCTAGACTGATCAAGGAAAAAAAAAGGAGGAGACACAAGTTATAAATATCAGGAATGAAAGAGGGGAATCACTATAGGCCCTAAGGAAATACAATGAATGACTCTATGTCCTAGCTTAGAGGTGAAATGGTCAAATTCTTCGAAATATATAAACTGCCAAAGTTTACCTAAAAAGGAATAGATAACTTGCAAAATCCTGCATCTACTCTGAAAATTGATTCTATAGTTAAAGACGATGCAAAACAGAAACCTACAGGCTGAGATGACTTCATGGTTAAACCTACCAAACATTTATGGAATAATACCGATTACACCAAAGCTTTCAAAAATACAGAGAAACAAGGAACACTTCCTAACTCATTTAATGAAGCCAGCATAATCATGATACCCAAAACAGATAGATATACTAAAACTACACACCAGTACCCCTCATTAATATAGATGCAAAAAACCCTGAAAAAATAAAAATCAAACAATACATAAAATGATAACAGATCATAACTCAATGAAGTTTACCTTGAGAATGCAAGGCTAATTCAACATTCAACTATTAATCACTGCAATTCATCGTATCAACAAACTAAGGAAGAAAAAGCAAACCTCAACAGATACAGAAAAAACACTTGATAAAACTCAACCATCATTCACGATTAAAAAGAAAAGAATAAATCTCTCAGAAAACTAGAGAACAGAGGGAACTTCCTCAATCTGAAAAAGGGTATTTACAAAAATCCTGCAGCTAACATACTTAATGATAAAAGACTGAATGCTTACCCCCAAGATCAGAACATGGCATGGAGATCAGCTCTCATCACTCTTATTCAAAATCATACTGGGGCTTCTAGCCAGCGAAATAAAACAAGGAAAAGAAATAAACAATGTACAGATTGAAAAGGAAAAATTAAAATTGTTCATATTTGCAGAAAATGATTACATAGAAAATTCCAGCTAATCTACAAAAAAAATACTAAAATTAATAAGTAAGTGTAGCAATGTTGCAGGGTGCAAGTCAATATACAAAAACCAACTATCTTTCTATATATTAGGAAAAAACAATTAGAAATTGCAATTTTAAAATAATATATTTATAATATTACCCCCAAATATGAATACTTGGTTATAAATCTTAAAAAAGATGTACAAGATCTGTGTGCAAAAACTACAAAACATTGATAAAGGAAATCAAAGATGATGTAATCAAATCAAGAGATACTCCATGTTCATGGAATGAACTGAAAACTCAGTACTTTTAAGATGTTTCCCCAAACTGCTCTATAGATTCAATGCAGGTCCAAACAAAATCCTAGTGGGATCTTTCTTGTTATAGAAATTGACAAGGTGATTCTAAAATTTAAATGGAGAAGCAAAGGAAATAGAAGAATCAAACCAGAAAAGAAACTAGGAGGTCTCACACGACCCAATTTCCAGATTTACTACAAAGCTGAAGTAATCAATTTTGTGTGGTATTGGAGAAAAGATATAGACAGACAGAATAATGAAACAGAATAAGAGTCCAAACATAGGCCCACAAATATATGGTCAAGTAATTTTTGATAAAAATGAAAAAGCAATTCGATGGAGCAAGGATAATCTGTTCCACAAATGGTGCTGTAATAACTGGATAACCTTATGCAAACAGAAAAAAATCACTATTTCTCCATACCTCACATTTAATACAAAAATACATAATGAATTAAAGACCTAAATGAAAAATGTAAAACTTATAGAAGAAAACATAGGAAAAAAGCTATGTGAGCTCCTCTGGTTTCTGGTGCAGCACTTAAAGAGCTTAGAAGTTGCTAATCCATCCTAAAAAGTGAAAACCTAAACAAACTGAAAAATCAACAATTGTTCTAAGATCCATCAAAAAAAATGAGCTCACAGGGCAAACTGCTGCCCCCAAAATTGGAAAGACAGAGAATTATAACTTACCAGTACAGAATCCTCTACCGGCACCAGCACTGGGACAGGAAACCCTGAACTGTAACTGACAAATTGCTGGAGCCTCCTTGTGGACAACTCTGAGAATTAAAAATTCCTTAGGAACCCAGTCATGGAGGGGGTGGGTACACACACTTCTGTGAGTTTCACCTCCAAGAGCTCTACCAGGTTCTCACATTGAATATCAACAATTTGTCTCTGACATTGTAAACAGAGAGATTAAAAGTCTAAGAAAAAATAAAAACGAAATTCTAGAGATCAAAATCACTAGAGATGAAGAATGCCTTTGATGGGCTCACTTGTAGAGGGGACATGGCTACGGAAAGAATCTCTGAGAATAAGGATACTCAGTAGAAATTTCCAAAACTGAAAAGTAAAGAGAAAAACATGGAAAATATCAGAACAGAATATCCAAGAACTATGGAACAACTACAAAAGGTATAACATACATGCAGTGTATGTAATGGGAATACCAGAAGAAGAAAGAGAGAAGGAACAGAAGCAGTATTTGAAGCAATAATGAGAAATTCCCAAAATTAATGTCAGACACCAAACCATGGATCCAGAAAACTCAGAGACTATAAAGCAGGAAAAATACTAAAGAAACCATACCTATGCATATGATTTAAACTTTAGAAAATCAAAGGCAAAGAAAAAAGTCCTGAAAAAAGCCAGAGGGGGGGAAAAACACCTTACCTATAGAGGAGCATAAATGAGAACTATATTCAACTTCCCCTCAGAATATTTCAATAGAATCTAAGAAATACATTAAGGCAAGACTAGCATTCAGAAGTAAAGATAAAATCACACTAAGTTCTGCACTGGTTAGATAACATCCAGAGCAGGAGTCAGCAAACTATGATCTGTGGGCAAAATCTGGCCCAACCACCTGTTTTTGTAAAAATTGTTTTCTGGAATACAGTCATGCTCATCATTTACATATCATCTATGGCTGTTTTCACACAACAATGGCAGAGTCAAGTAGTTGTGACAGACATTGAATGGCCCTCAAAAATCTAAAATATTTATATCTGGCCCTTTACAGAAAAAAGTTGCTGACTCCTGATGTACAGTATTAATATCTACATTGAGACATCAAATTTTAAAAGAAATACTAATAAAAAAGAAAGTAAACAAATAACGAAGGACATGGAAATAATGCCACTTAAAATATAGTTTACTGCATAGGCTATGATTAGCCTGAAACAAAGATTTAGAGAAGAGAAAGTAATAATTATTACATATTTAGAGAACTATCCTATGGAAGAGAAATTAGGCTAATTTGGGGTGGCTTCAAAAGAAATAACTGAGACCAACGTGCAGAATTTTACAGGGAACTACTGGAAACCTTGAGGTGTTT